TGTTTTTACTTGACACTTATCATGATCACGTGAGTTAGTAAATTTAAAAACCAAGTTTTGACATATAATCTCGTTTAATTGTTAAACTTAAACCATAATTTTAATTTGTAAAGATAAACCATAATTCTTATTTATCATTTATATACCCAAACCAACAAATAACCTGATTTAATTGTAAAATTAAAGTTTAAACCTTAATCCTTTTCTGTAAACAAACACCGCCATATATTCTTGTTAATTATAAATTTTAAATCTCTATCTTATTAATAAACCAAATTGACATAACTGAAATTAGATTATTTGTTTAATTTTATTAATAATTTTTAAATATAATTCTTTATAATATTTATTTTATATATTTCCTTCTTCGATAGGGTTAATAATATTTCTATTTTATCCAAATATTAACAAAATTAGTTATGCCACGTGTCAACATCTTAAAGTTTATAATTGACACGTGTCACGATCTTGTTAATGGCTGACTTTGAAAACCAAGGTTTATATAATAAGATATCCAAATATCTATAATGGTTATGGTATCACCGATATATATGAATTTAATCATTCTACACCAAATTGTTAACTTTGAAATATCTAGAAAAATTAAAATGAAAAAGAAGTATATAAAAAATGAGCTTATTTTGACCAAAATATAACTATGACCAAATATCATAAATTAAATGTTTATCGATAAATTAAATGTACATAATTATATAGTTATAATAATAATAAAAAGATATCGGAGGAATATATGTGAGAACTCATACAGACCTTTAATTTTTGAATATTTGGACATGATATGCACTGCATCGATTGTGATATTAAGAATTAATAACGATATTGAACTAGTAATCGGTTACGAAATTGAGTTGTTAGCAATAGTCGTATTGTTTACTAGTTTTAAAAATGTGATTTCTAGAAAATCAGATAAATAAAATTGCGTTGTTTTTCTCGAAGTTTCAAAGAAAAACTGAAGAAGAGCTATTCAATAATAAAACTTAGGAGAACTGATCGTAACAGAAAATTCATTAGTAAGAATTTAAAGTTACAAACAAGTTCTATCCAAATGAGAACATAAATGTAGGACTTGATTCTGCACTTTTAAAAAATTTCCTTCCTAGTGACATTATTATGAAAATCATCATAATATTGAATAATATTGACATTTTATAGAATTTAAAAAATAAATCAATTGAATAATACTAGAACTTACTGAATTTATAAAATACAAAATTGTATAAAAACATATTTTTTGAAATTTTCTTTTGAAATCTCTCTAGTTCTTTACTAGAATCATATATTTTGAAAGTTTCCTTGAAATCTCTCAAATTTTTGCGTCGGTCATCGTTGTTGATGGTAAAACCCTTTTTTGTCGAACTATGGTGTTGTTTAGTGATGTTAAAGTGGGTAAACCCACCCCATTTAAACCCACTCCATTTAAAACCCACCCCATTTAGACCCAAACCCATTTAGACCCATTTAAATTTAAACCTCAGTTATCCACTCCATTTAACCCCATTTAAGTTTCTGTTATCCATTTAGCCTAATTTAGACCCATATAACATTGTTTTGTTGTAAATTTACTATATACTAAGAATTGTTTAATTAATTATTTTAAATTACTAATATTGATTAATTTACTGAAATTGATTGATTAATGATCATATAAAATTATTTTGTTAAAAAATAATATAATTTAGATTATTCTCTATTATTTTTACCACAATTCTCTATTAATCCTTTTAATATATAGGAATAACAATGGCAGAGAAAATATACTTTAATGTACCAGAGAAAAATTAGAATACAAAAAGCAATGAAGTTCCAAAGACTCAAGCCAAAATCATTACTTCGGTATGAGATAATCTTCACGATTTCAAAGATCATGTGGCAGAAAATTTGTTATATACATTATATATAATATCTTTAATAGTTTTACATGATATGCATTGATCAAATAGAAAATTTGTAAAAGGAAAAACAAAAACTATTTTGTTTCTTTTGTAAATAGCTAAGCTTTTTACCGATTCAGATTCTATTTGTAAAACTATTCAAGATTATATATATATATATATATATATATATATATATATATATATTTTTATTTTTTATATATATTTTTCCTAGACAAATTATATTTATAACAAATTTCCTGCCACATGATCCTTGAGATCACCAATGACAACACCATTGTTCAAAAAAAAAAAAAAGAGTATTACCATCAACAAAGATGACTGACATAAAGAACATGAGAGATTTCAAATAAACTTTTAAAATATATGATTTCGTTCAGTAAACAAAGAATTAAAAACTACATTATAAATAGTCATAATTTATCAGATAATTCTCTTGAGCTAAAGATTAACATATGAGAAATAATCGAAGAGAAAAGTTTAATGTTCAAGGTCTTCAGCTTCCGTGGAGAAAAGACCAAAGAAGGGATTGGTAACCGCAGAGTTCAGCTGAAACGCAGCGTCTCGAAGCCGGTTAACGTCTAAGTCGCGGTTCGGTAGAGACAAGAACTCAGATCCTTCATCTCTCTTGAATCCACACAGCTCCATGAACTCAATACCTTCTTTATATCTCCCAACTCTCTCATGGAACAAGCGGTTCGTTACACGGATTCTTCTATATCTTTCTTCACCTGGCTTCTTGGCTGCGTTACTCACAATCATCAGAAGCGTTTCAAATGCCTTCCTAGTGATTCTTGAATCTTCATTCTATTATAACAACATCAACAAACAAGATTACATATGGCTCTCTTGGTTCTTGCCATTTTCTTGATAAGACTGTGTTTATTAATTACCTTATGGTTTCGTCTTAATGACCTTAAACATTCTCTCATCTCCTCTGCTTTCGAGACTAGGGTTGATGTCGACATTGATATCCTCTGTTATTAATATTAACGTTAAGGGAAAATATGATCACATTCTTCATAGTTGTTAAGTCACAATAGAACAAGGTAGATTTGTGTACCTTAGGGTCAAGTGGAGCAACATCATTTGATGTCGAAGCAGATTCTGTTTCGACTGATAATCGCGGTCGAACTCTTCGCTTTCTCTCCAGCTAAACAGATACATTAATCCAAAAACTTGGTTTTCTATTTGAGTGTACAAAAAGATATCAAGATTTGTCACCTTGTCTGCATTAACTTTAAGCATAATTTTCTCCCTTGCTTTTTTCTCCTCATCTTTCTCAGCTTTCCTCAAAGCTATATTCCTGTTTTTTTTTGAAGTATCCAACATTGTTTATATCAAATTCAAAGAGACAATGTGAGAAACAAAGCTCTTGTTCTCGCATACCGTTTTCGTTCGTTTTCTTCCGCGGTTCGCTTTGTCTCCATCATCTCTTTCCCTGCTCGATTCCTTTCCTGCAAGAGAGTTAGAGCTGGTAAGTCTTCTTTGTGTAGATAGTGTGTGATGCAAGTAATTCCTTTGTACCTTTTGTCTTTCTCTTTCACGTTTAGTCTCTTCTTCTTCTCTTAGTTTACGAGCTTGTTCCCTAAGAAGACATGAACAGTGAAGTCATTTGTCCTTATAAAGTTTAAGAAACATATGTTCAATAGGAGACTTACTTACATTAGTTCTTTAGCTCTTTCCTGAGAAGTTTCTACTGTATCATCAGTTGGATTTGGAGACTCAATCTCAATGTTAAATTCCACCTGCACGAACACGTCTTTATTCAAAAGTTTCATTGGAAGCTAACGAAAAAGAAACAAAGATGAATACATACCAAAGGCATTTTATCAAACTGTGAATCACTTTCATGATCTATGATCCAAATCACAGCTTCTTGAAGATTAGAGTTACCTGGAGATGAAGAGAGAGACAAAATATGGTTGATCCATGACATGATTCTTGGAATGTTTTTAAAGTGGTTTTAACATACCAGAGTGATGCAGACCCCAGGCTGCCCGGGCCATCGAGAATCCCATATCTTCAAGCTCCTTTAGCAGTCCACGATTAACCTCAAATGCAACATTTTCTATTTTACCAAAAACACATCAAGAACAGCTTACAAAAGAGACAAGATCCCACAAAACAAAAGAACCATGATCTGATCTGATATTCACCTGTTTCTGCTGCCATGTTCCAAAGATCTCAAGTATTTCTTGAACTCCGAATTGATGAAAGAAGACGATGCACGTATGGTATTTGTGTAGTATGTTGAAGTATTAAAAATTGATTAGATTCTTTATCTAAAACTGTAATGCAAACAACATCTTTTTTTTTTTTTTTTTACTTACGTTTCCTCCAAGTTTCCAACTCTTTTATTCTATTCAAAACTTGTAACAGAAGCAACAGAGCTTTTATTCCTTTCATTTCCATCCTTAAGCTTCAGCTAACAAGAAAATAAAACAGTGAATTATAATTGAAGTGTCTTATTAAATCCTTAATTTTTGTGTATTAAAATTTTTGTTTTGTTTTTCAAATATAAGATATTTACATTTTAAAATTAAAAATGATTGTGTTATTGTCAAACCCTCTAATCTTGAAAGAAGCTTTCTTTAGGTTTATTTTCGCATCATATAAATAGATCCTTCTTTCTTCGTATTCTCCCTAGAGCCGGCTCTATGCACAAGCTCATGAAGCATGAGTTTGTGGCCATCAAACTTCCAAAAGTGTACTATTGTGGAAACTGTTTATTGGGCTTGTGGCCTTTATATTTTGTGTGACGGCTCTGAATTTCTCCAAAATGTATTTGTAGTATTCTTCGTCATAAAATCTTCCTCGTATTCATCGTCATAAAATCTTCCTCGTAGTTTCCGTCATAAAATCTTCCTCGTTTTCTCCATCATAAAACCTTCCTCGTTTTCTCAGATGGAATAGTTTTTATTCTCCGTTAGTTCATTTCTTCACCATCTCATCGATTGATTCTTTTTCATTTGACTCTGTTATTATTCTCATCATCTCATTGTAAAGGTATGAGCTCACTCTCTCTAATTCCCTTATATATACATATATTCATAGTAATAGTGATGCTATAATTGATTTTCCAATTTTAAAATACAGAACTGTACTGGTTTAAGTTTTGAATCTTATATTCACCTGATTTTTCAAAATACAAAGTAACATAACTTTAATGAGGAATATCATGTAACACCTCTATTAATTCTTTTTTATGACTACATGATAGAGGAGATTTTGGAGAAAGTGAACTATGTCGACGGTAAGATCAGATATTACCGATGACGGCAACTCTAGTGTCAACTCTAGCATCAATAATGGAGGAGAAGTAATCGATCAAAAAGAGAAGAGAATCGTACTCAAAACAAGATATCATTATCGGGTTAGGAAAATTAGAAACTGCTTTTGTTTTTTTTTCTCAAGATTACTATAATATTTTGATATTGTGAAAACTGAAACTAGTAAAATTTTAGGATGATACTGTGAGATACTTCAAGATGAACAGAAACAAGCAGTTTGAAAAACTCATGAAGTGTTACTGTGCGCTTCAAAGTCTTGATTTCGACAACACTGTTTTCTTCTCCTATGGTCGTCGTCTCAGTCCTGAACAAACACCTAATGAGGTAAATTGATCTCAATTTTGTTTTCATGTTTCTTGTTCTAAAGATAAAATCATAATTCATGGTTTATAATTTGATATAATCTTTTGATATTTTCTTATGCAGCTTGATATGAAGAATGGAGATGAAATTGAAGCATTAATTGATTAGGTGTTCTAAAAGATTGGATTCGTGACAGATATTGTTACAATGATCTATGATGGTTTTTTTGCTTATACTACTAGTCTTGTATTGGTGGTTGAATTTATAATTGATTATGAGATTTGTTTCATTTGAGATGAGAAGAGAATAATAAGAAAGACAAGTTTATATTTGTTATCATTGACTTAGCTGTTTGGTGGAGTTAGACAAATAATACTCTCTCCATTGTATAATAGATGATTTATGAGCAAATGTATACAAATTAAGAAATCATTTAAGCTTTGTTTATTTCTAAGGAAAAGCATCATTAAATATCTATTTAAATAAAATTATACCAATGAAAAAAAATATGCAGAATATAACTTGATAAAAACAATAAAACAATATTTAATTTTGCATAGAATTGTGAGAAAAATCATCTATTTTAAAAGAAAAAAAAAACCTAAAAGATCATCTATATAAGAACGGGTTCAAGAAATAATTTTGATGATCACAAAGGTGTTATGTGGTATGTTCTGCATGATTTAACCGCCTTTATCTTAGTAAGATTGAATATTATACATGAAAATAGCATAATTCTTTTTATTTGGTGTGTATAAATTGCAAACACTTAAGCTTTTTTTTTTTTTTTTTTGTTTGGGCAAAGTTGCAAACACTTAAGCTTTTGAACACATAAAAAAAACCTCAAGATATTGATATATTATATAGAGATTTTGGCAAAATTATACTAAGACAAAAAAAACAAAATTAAATTTGTAACTATTCTAACCATATATCTATCATATTCTCTATATAAACTACAATATATACAATTTTACCCCTTATCTAATATCACTACCACCACCCTCTACGACGACCACCACCACCTAACCACTGGCCACCACCACCACCACCCTACCACCGGCCATCACCACCACCACCCTACCACCGGCCGCCACCACCACCTCCGACCAACACCACCATGCACCTCCGCCGCCACCACCATCCTCGGCCATCACCACCAACCTCCGATCCGGACACCACCACCACTCTACCATCGGCCGCCTCCGCTGCCACCGTCTCTGACCACCACCACCATCACCCTATCTCCGGCGACCACCACCACCACTCTATCACCGGCCACCACCACTGCCTTCGGCTGCCACTATCTACGGCCGCCACCATTGCCTCCGGCTGCCACTATCTCCGGCCGCCACCATTGCCTCCGGCTGCCACCACCACCACCATCCTATCTCCAGCGGCCACCACCATCTCTGACCACCATCCTAACCTTATCTCCGGTGGCAATCACCACCACCTCCGATCACCACCATCTACCTCCGGCCACACCACCTCCAGCCACCATCACTAGCACCATTACCACTAAATCAACACCAAAATGGTAATTTTCACAACCCTCTCATGTTATTCTCTTAATTGTTTTAAATAATCTGTTATATTCTTCACATGTTTTTTTTTTTTGTTTTGGTTAGTTAGCGAATTGCCCCATTATTTTTGATCAATTTTTTTGTTTGAACTGCACTATATTTATTTTATATTGAATAGTAAATATAACAGGACAATCTCTTTCTTTGCAGGAGAACTGTTTTTTTATCAGCCTTCCATTCAAGGCCATTGTATATGGAGTATATACGTTACCAAGGTCCAGAGTAATAAGTGAATATGCTTTTTAATTTTATTTTCTGAAAGCATAATTTTCTGGATGTTTTTTTTTCTATTATTAATGTTTTGAACATATATGATTGGTGTGACAGTCTAGCTCAACCCATTATTTCAACTAGCTATTTTGGTTCAACGTGTGATTGATTGCAAACTAAGATAAGAGAAAGTTCACAAATTAGATACGAAGAGCAAGGTTGAATAGAAAGAATCATATAAACCAAAATGAACAATCTGAAGAATATGTTTTTTTTTACATGAATTACCACTAGAGATCGAACCGTATGTGTTACATATATATGTGATATGCAACTGATGCATCCCTACGATTCTCATCTAACATAACAAAAAATTAATAATAATAAAAATAAAAAATTAAGAGAGACAAATGTCAAGAGTTTGATGGTTTTTGGGTAGTGTTGGACCTGGGCCTCAACAAGAAAAGACCCATTTTCACAGCCCGTTATATAGTAGGAGTCTTTTGGCTTGGTGGGCCGAAGTAGAGGCGTTCCGGCCCATTAGGAGGAAGCAGAGGAGATCGAGGAGGAAGTTGAGAGGAAAGTGGAATTCGGAGTGCTGAGATATCGTTGGAGGTTGCAACTTTTGTGTATGGTGTGTGTGTGTTTGGATTAGGGTTCTCGAGTCAAGAAAAATAAAGGCCACAATTCACAAGTATTGCATAAGGTTATTTGAAGTTGGTGACTCTGTTATACAATAAGAGTGTTTTTAAAAAACAAGATTAGTATGAGCTTTCTAGAAAGAAAAAAAAATATATTTTTTCTGAAATTTTCAAGTGGCCCTATTGAGAAAGAAATTCATGTTGTATTATGTTTTTTTTTAGGTGGAGATTCAATAAAAGTTTATCTAAAAAAAGGAATTTTTTTTTGTCAAATTTAAAATAAATTATATTTGTTTCCAAGAAAATAATATTTGGTCAAATTTAAAATAAATTATATTTGTTTCCAAAAAAAAAAATTTTGGTCAAATCTAAAATAAATTATATTTGTTACCAAAAAAAAAATGGTCAAATTTAAAATATATTATATTTGTTTCCAAAAAATATATTCAATATTCATGTTCTGAGGCTTCTCGTGCACAAGCACAAGTGAGCACAACCACATGTAAGTTTCATGACCACCGGCGATATCGTCTCGATACTCTCAGCTATGTCGTCGTCCCTAACGAAGAAGAGGAAGTGGCCGACGACAACGAAGACGAAGAAACGTAGTGAGCATCTCGAGAGACCGTCGCTTCCATATGATCTGGTCGTGAGCATCTTAGCCCGCGTCTCGAGATCGTATTACACAAAGCTCTCCTTAGTCTCCAAAAGCTTCAGATCGATCCTTGCTTCACCGGAGCTTTACCAAACCCGAACCCTCTTAGGTCGTACCGAGACTTTTCTCTATGTGTGCTTACGCTTCCCTGATGAAGCTAACCCTCGCTGGTTCACCCTCTACCGCAAGAAACCTAATCAAACCCTAACCAAGAAGAAGAAGAAGAAGAAGACGAAGAAAGAGGATTCAAGTGCTCATGTTTTGGCTCCAACGCCAGTTCTCGACTCTCCTGATGAGGAATGGTTAAGTATTGTCGCTGTTGGTTCTTATCTTTACGCCATTACCGCAGCCAACAAAGATTCTCCATGCTCTAACGTTTGGTTCCTCGACTGTCGAACTCACACTTGGCTTGAAGCTCCAAGAATGCGACTGGCTCACACCAATACTGACTTTGATGGGAAAATGTATTTGGCAGGTAGCTCTGAGAGTCCAGATTCTTTGAACTGTGTTGAAGTGTACAACACCGAGACTCAAGCTTGGAACACCGTGCCGTCCAGAAAACAAATAATGGAATTCCAAAATATGGAAGGAAAGATTTACATGATCCCTGGTGTAGATATTGCTACTAATGGGGAAATGGCTTTAAAGCCAAATGGTTTGTTATGGGAACTGGTAAGTTTGGTTACTCTATTGGGTTCTGTTTGTGTGATAGATAACGTAGTCTTTTATTATGACCCTCGTGTAAAGTGTATATTGAGTGCACATGAAGACAACGGAGCAGTTTGGAGAAGAGTAGAGGGTTTAGAAGGGCTACCTAAGATTGCTAATTACAGTACTGTTAAGTTAGTGGATTATGGTGGTAAGATGGTTGTTTTGTGGGACAAGTATGTGCCTTCAAGTGGGTATAAGGAGAAGATGATTTGGTGTGCAGAGATTTCGCTTGAGAAACGCAACGATGAAGAGATTTGGGGGAAGCTTGAGTGGTTCGATGCGGTTCTTACAGTCCCTAAGTCTTATAAGTTGGTGTGTGCCAGATCTGCTTCTGTTTGACATGTTTGAATGTAATAGTGAATCTTGTTGTGTGTCACTTTCTTTTCTCTTTTGTTTGTAACTTTGGGATTAATGTTTTGTGGTTTTAGCGTAATGTGATTGACACCACTCGACCTTACCTTGAATATGATCATTTTCGCATGTTTCAAAGGAAAACAACCGCACACGAAATCTTATGACTCTCATAGCCACTGTAAGTCAAATACTTGTCCCACCATAATCAGCCAATTTAACACGAGAACTAGGAAGCCTACGCGAACGCAATCCTTCAAAACTTTGCAATTTCATCCAGAATCTTAACCTTAAGTGGTACTAATCATATGTAGTTTGCATTATAATATAAACTCATAACGACATATATATGTATTCGCTAAGTCCCTCAAGGCAAAGTCGTTTAACACTTAAAAACGCATTGGCAAACAATAGTGTGACGTCCTTTATTCTTGTCCTCTTCCTTTAAAAAACCGTATGCTTTATGCTTCTCGTGACATAAGGCTTGACATTCTTGTAATTTCCATGTCCCTTTTTTGTTATTAAAATAAATACCTTCACAATATTTTATCGGTGCAGACTCTGATCCTCCTGTAATAGATACATAAAATTTTAGTAGTTGTGATTTTATTTTTATTTTGTATATAGAACATAAAATTCAAATAAACTCTTTTTATTCGGCAAAATTGAAAACATTTTTCAGACCAAAAAGAAATAGGAATTTTGAAACATTTATCTAAGCAAACCTAGCACAAGAAAGATGAGAGTAGTTAAAACGGTTAGCGAGATTTGCAAGAATTTCCTCATCTTGAACGATATAAATAACTTTTTTTTGGAGTATAGACAAAATAAAATATTTAAAAAGAAAAATAATAAGTGTACTTATATATACAACATTCAAGCACTTCTAATTTAAGCAATTTACTTAATATAGTTCCGAATTAAAAGTTTTTTGTTTTACGTTATTCCAGTTTTTTTGCTCATTCTATATATATCAGAAAAAATATTGAGTTCACCTCTAGGATGAACCTCTCTTATTAATCACTTTTTAATTAATCAATCAAAATACAATAACATTCAAGCACTTCTAATTTAAGCAATCTACTTAATATAGTTCCGAATTACAAGATTTTTTTTTTTACGTTATTCAAGTTTTTTTGCTCATTCTATATATATCAGAAAAAATCTTGAGTTCACCTCTAGGATGAACCTCTCTTATCCATCCCCTTTTAATTAATCAATCAAAAATACATGCAATAATATGCAATGTCGTACTATATTTTAATAATCAATCAAAAATAAAAGCAGAAAAACAAAATAAATTAAGGAAACAAAATATGTAAATTTTATTGTCAAGGAAATTAGATGTCGGCCTGGGTTTATAAAATAGGGGATATGGTTTATATTTTACAATTAAGTAAAATTATATGTTGGTTTGAGTTTGTAAAAGAATGGTTAGGGTTTAAAGATTAGATTTTACAATTAAAAATCTTATATATATATATATATATAATATATTATATATATATATCAATTTGGTTTATAAAGAAGGATTATATTTTAGATTTTAGAATTAAACAAAAAAAATATATTTCAGTTTGGGTATATAAAAGAGCGGTTAAGATTTTGATTTTAAAATTTAATGAAATTATATGTCGGTTTGGGTTTATTATAAAAAAGAGATTTCTATTTTATAACAAAAAAACTATAAATAATGTTAGGAGTGTACAGTAATAAAAAAATTGGTCTTCCGTGATAATGTTAGATTTTATTAAGATTTTGTTTTCCTTTTCTTAGGTGCGACATATAATTATTGATCCAAAATTAATTTTAATTTTGGTTTTTAATCATTTAAAATGATCTTTTTGTTCAAATAATTTGAATTATTTTAATTAGTTTATTTAGATGACATTAATAATTTTGATTTGTTAATTAAGAGAGCGTGAATAAAACGTGTGAATCCAAAAATCGTTCTTAAAAGCTGAAACCAAAATAATGCTTTCCTCGCTTTAGGTGTAGAAAATTAAATAATTTTTACATTGTTGAGAAATAGTATATATATAATTTTTGTTACTACATAACTGTGTTTTAAATAACTTGATTATGAGCCGGTATGATTCAAAAGTTGCGAACTAAGATTAGGGGATGGTTTGTGACTTCTTAGATACCATAGCTTCAAGGTTGAGGGTCTGATACTGAGCCGGAATGACTCAATGGCTGCAACCTGAGAGCGGGAGAAGTGTATGAGTTGAGAGCAAATAATATATAGGACATGAGTATATTGACTGGATGGAGACGTCATAGGTCGGTCGGAGGATGTGCGGGCGCCATAAGGATAGTAAAAATAAGATAATTGAGAGCAATTGTGGGCTTGTAACAACAACCAGAAACTCTCTTTTAATATATGGAGGATATTGCAAAACTTAAGAAGAAATAGTTGGATATAACATATAAATTAATTTTTATTTCTTTCATAACGTTAAGAGAAAAAGTTATAAAAAGAATAAATATAATATTGAAAGCTCTGACTGCAATGTGGAACAAAAAAAATATATTTTTATTTATAGTTTGTCCATATATACTTTTTGAAAAAAAAGGATGGGTTTAATGTCAAAACCTCTAATCTTGAAAGAAGCTTTCTTTAGGTTAATTTCTGTATAATATAAATACATTTTTCTTCTTCGTATTCTCCATCATAAAATATTCCTTGTATTCTCCATTATAAAATCTCCCTCATATTCTCCGTCATAAAGTGATGAAATCTTCCTCGTATTCTCAGATGGAATAGTTTTTATTTTCCGTTAATTCGATCCTCTTCACCATCTCATCAACTGAATCTTCTTCATTTGACTCTGTTAATATTCTCATCTTCTCATTGTAAAGGCAATATCTCACTCTCTCTAATTCCCTTTTATATATACATATATTTATATTAATGGTGATGATATAATATATCTTCCAATTGGAAAATCTTCTGATTTGCAATTCATCATCTTAGTTAATTTATTTCTATGAAACGCAAGTTAATTTTCTTCTTTAATGTAATTTTTTTCTTATTGTGTATTTATATTAGTTCTGATAGGGTTATAAGTTCTCTATGTCTTCGATTTAGTTTCGATGATTTGGATTTGAGTCGTATTACACAATCATTGTGAATAATATGACTAGTTTTGTATGAAAAATGTGATAATACTGCTGAGCTAGGGAAATCTTTATTTTTCCAAACAAAATAATACATGTAGAGAAAGTTAAACTCGATATAAAACGAGAACCGTATTGGTTTAAGTTTTGAATACAAAGAAACATAACGTTAATGAGGAATATAACATGTAAAACCTCTATTAATTCCTTTTATGACTACAGGGCAGAAGAGAATTTGAAGAAAGTGAACTATGTCGACGACAAGATCAGATATCACCGATGACGCTAACAGTAGCGTCAACAATGGAGGAGGATTATCCAATCAAGAAGAAAAGAGAATTGTACTGAAAACAAGATTTGAGTATCGGGTTAGAAAAAAAAAATCTGCTTTTGTTTTGTTTAATTTCTCAAGATTACTATTATTTTTGATATTGTGAAACTGAAGCTAGTAAAATTCTAGGATGCTAGTGTGATATACTTCAATATGAAAAGAAACATGCGGTTCAAAAAAATCATGAAGTGTTACTATGAGCTTCATAAT